CCGAGAACTCTTACAATATTTTCGTCGACGAGAGTCACTAACAGTTGTCGATTCATGTATAATGTTTGGCCACCGTATCGTTATCCCCAGAAATCTTCGACACCAAGTTATTAAACAGTTCCACAGCGGGCATCCGGGGATAAGTAAAATGAAGTCACTAGCTCGCAGCTATGCATACTGGCCGTCAATGGACCATGATATAGAGCAAAAATTTCGCAGTTGTTGGTCCTGTCTAGAGGCTGCGAAGAATCCAACGAAAGCTGAACCACGACCATGACCTAAACCGGACGGACCTTGGCAAAGAATACATGCTGATTTCGCCGGACCAATACAAGGTAGAAATTACTTAGTTGTTGTCGATGCTTTCACAAAATGGCCAGAAGTATATGGCATGCCGAAAATGACATCGGAGAGTACAATAAGAAGATTGTCAGGATTGTTCGCCAGTTTCGGGGTTCCAGAGATATTAGTGACCGACAACAGTACTCAGTTTATGTCATCTGTTTTCAAACGCTTTTGCAGTGAAAATGGTATATCGCACCTACAATCTCCTCCGTACCATCCTCAGTCGAATGGCCAAGCAGAAAGATTCGTAGATACGTTAAAAAGAGCTCTGGTCAAAAGAGGAGGTGAGGGTATCCCGGAACAAGTGGTTAATAATTTCTTGATGTCTTACAGAGTTACCCCTTATCTGGCAGTACCAGAAGGAAAGTCTCCGGCCGAGTGTATGGTCGGAAGGAAAATCCGGACAGTCTTTAACAGTATGTTGCCGCCCAGAACGACAAATAAACCCACGAATGAAGGTCGTAAGGTCAATCGTAGCTTCCAGATGGGTGAAAAGGTACTTGTCAGATCGTATCAAGGTAATAGGAAGTGGGAACCAGGTGTCATAGAACGTCGAATCGGAAATGTACTGTACCTAGTCCGGAAAGGTTTCGGAAAATGCATAAGACATATAAAACAAATGCAAAGAAATGATAGTACAGTGGTCAAAGAAAACCGGTTGACATTTCAGTTGCTCGTAGATTCATCTCAGAAGAACCATCATGAGCGCAAACATCGTAAAGACAAACGACGCAGAGAGAAAGCTGTACAACCCTCGAGAGTAATGGACCGCAAGAGGAATGCGACACCCAAGCTTCAGGTGGATCCAAGAAAAAAATCTTAGTAGATAAAAAAATCTTACACAACGGACTTTAAAGGGGGGGTGTGATGACGGACCACCGGTGAACTCGAGGAAGCTGTAAGAGGCTCAGAGGGAGCCGAAGACGTCTCATCCAATCACCTTTCGGAAGAATATTCTAGAATTCCAACGTGTAGCTACCCTATTGGATAATGCTAATAACCCCCTGTATGCGGATCGGAAGACTATAATGGTGATTTCGTTCTCACTAAAAATTATAAATACCTGACGATTTTGTACTATGATTGACACTGTTTGGAATAATATTCCTTTAGTTAGTCTTCTGTCTTTTTGCTGCGACTTGGAAGGGTTTGGTGTTCTAGTGCTTTGTTATACACGGTAGTATCAAGAAAAATCAACTTTTCAAGATATAACAAATATCAATCCATCATATCAAACCGAACTGTTCCTGTCGTAAACATCAATCCATTGTCTCACATTTCATTGTTCATGCGTTTTTTTACAATTTGCATTGTGTTTCTTTCTTGATCTTCCCCCATCTTCTGCTGCCAAACATTACGTTTTTAAGTCGCATCATATACTACTTATGTCAATATAAGTAGCACACCACAATACTACTAATACATATGAATGACTATCAAAAAATGTTCTCATACGTACAAAGTTATAATTATATGAATTTTGGACAGATAGCTAAGAGCAATTCGTTAAATACGAGTGCATTCGTAAGAGACATGGTCTAGACTCAATGTTCTAATTTTTCATAGACTATTTATTTATATTCATACCTACCGGTTGATGGTGCATACAAGTTAGTTGCAAGTATGCAGTTTAACATGAGGCGGAATACAATGTAATTGAGTTATAGTGATTATAAGTTATTGAAATCAACTAAGCCTACGTGCCACATTTCTAGGTGATGTGGCGCTGCAAGATATCTTCGGCTAACTAAGTCTTTACAAAATGATTAACGTTGATTGATTCTCATGTGCTTATCAGGGAGAACATAAGTTGAACCCAAGGGAGTAGATTCCAAACTCATGTTTATTATAATGGCTTGAAACTTAGTGAGTTTTGGGGCAAATTCGATATTGATGTTCCCAGTTTGTAGGAGATTTGCTCGAGTGCTTATTCTGATGATTTGCATACATGATTGTGTCGCTAATCCTCTACTTAGACTGATATGATTTTGAGAAATCTACTGAATGAGCAACTGATAGAGAAGCATACGGTAATCATCTGGAATATTTTCGATGATTAGATTATTCAGTAGACGACATATATAACGCCATTCGTGAGGAGGAGTAATGGTCCAAAAGCATCCCGAATAAAACACGCAGTATGGCATATAATTCCAGAGTACCTGGTGCTGTTGACGTTTTTGTCACTCGCTCGAATCAGAACAATTAAATGAATCCAGATAATTGTGTAGTTGTCATTAAACGAGCCATCTGAAATGACTTTATGATTGCAGAAAATTTATCGCTTAAACACCGCGTGTTTTTGGAGTAGTGTCACCTTGTTGGTTGTCAGTGGAACTCAAAAATGGGAAATTAGGCAGGCAGTGGTCGAAAGAAAAGATATTACGCGATAGTGTACAGTTTAAAACAGAATGTGTTAAGGCAACGAGTAACGATCGGTAATGGTTTTCGCATACAGTCGCCGATAGTCACCAGTTGGACGCCAAACGTTGTTGTCCTTTTTAAGGAACGTGTGCAACGGTGATGCCCATGGGCTGCTTGACTGTAGAATGAATCTGAACTCTATCATGTGATCGAATTCGAATTTGGCCAACATCAACTTTTCCAGAGCCAGTCGGTGCGCTTTCGAGAATACAGGTAGTCCTGTAGTCATGATGTGCTTTGTAACGTTGCTGGTTACACACGGCAATTTTGCCTGCGTTTGGTGTATCCCAGAATACTTATCGAGTAGTGGTTAATAGAATGGATCTGTCGTGTGCCTTATTGTAACTGGAGATAATTTGCAACCGGAAAAAGGAGTTACGCAAAGAAACAAACTATTGTTTCCGTCCACTAGCCTCCGTTTGCGCGTATCGATGAATAGATTGTGGTGTTGTAGCAGATCTACACCAACAACAAAAATCCAGTGAATGGGTTTGCATAAACCCACGTTAAGGCAAACGTACCTTTTATCATTTACATTCGCCAGCTACGGTTGTCGTTAACGCGTGCCGGCCTGGGAGTTTCCCGAATTGTTTTTCATGTTGGTGGATTTTGAGTTGGGAAAATTGCATGGTTTTCTTAAATTTCTGGGGGACATTCCAATCTGGTTATGATATCAGCACTAGTCTTGGTTATCCGTCTCTCGTGGTCTAGAGACAGATCGCCTACTTGAAGTGCTTCTTCACGGAGTTTGTGAGCGTTCATGGTTATTACGAAATCGTAGATAACGTGTCAGAGAATGACATAGTCCCGTAATGTCATTCTGTGTCGTTTGAGGTTTTCCTTTGACTGTAAAAACCTCGGTATCAGAAGATTTCGTGATTTAAAGGATGCGGTCGGCTGATTCAGCCAACTCGTCTAAGGCGTTGTTTTGGAACGAGACCAGCATAGCTTGCACCTGTTAAGGAACGTTGGGTAAGAAAAGTTGTTTGAATAGGCCAGCATCGAAGGTTGTTTGGCCGATAACTTCTCTCATTCTTTGCAGCATCTCTGTCGCAGGACCGTGTTGCAGGTTGATGTTATTAAGGAGTTGGTCTAACCTTTGTTTATCGGACAGGTCTCCGCGTTTAAGGATAGATCGTTTCAATGTTTCGTAGGGGGCCGAAACATGGCTAGTAAACATGCTAGATGTTACGCACGGTAGTGCCTTGACTACTGCGAGGCATTATGCACGTGTGTCGGTCACGCCATGCTCGTAGAGGTCGTCCTCTTCGTAGCAGAACCAGGCTTCGATGTTGTATGCTCAGCAGGACATTAACCGAAACGAAGTTGGGGTCATAGTCTTTATCTTAAGTACCTTAGGTGTCTGTTCCTCACGGAGAAATATTAGGTAAAAAAATGGACGGGGAAAAAAATATATATTCAAAAACACGGGAAAAATATCATATCTAAAAATTAAAATAAAGCAATGATATATGAAATCCAAAAATGGAACAGACTCACAATTTACAATATGGTGTACCACACCACGTTGGGCTCACTAATGAAGATGCCACAGGTATTTGGGATTTGACAACGCTTTAACTAGTAACACCTTCTAATATGCATCGTACCCATCAAGTGAAATAAAATGACGGAAGTGAAAAGGTTCGAAGATATATTTGATAAGCTATCAATATATCGAGGATTGACTGATCTTATCTTGCTAGCGATTGCGGGAGAAGTTGAGCACTGCGTTCCAACTCACGATCTGGTGCGGATGCATGACCGAGCACCTTGAGCTAGGTGAGTCCATTAAAAATAATGCGGTTAGCATCTAATATAGAAGACTTACAGAGCTATTTATTTTGTGGATTTATTCACAGTAGATTATATCAAGATTTAGACATTCTTACAAATTATTTCAGATAAAATAATATTCCAAAACAACCCAAACTTACATAAAGCTTTGGCTTTACATTTCTTTTGCACAAATATGAGATCTGGATCTTAAAAATACTACACTAGTTCCATCTATCTTCGAGAAACTCGATGAATATCGTCAAAAAAACCAAATTTTCGTTGAGCGATTTATTTTGAGTAATAATAAAGTTATAGTAATGCGTTTTTACGGTCTTGAAAAGCTGAAATTGAAACAACCTGTTCAAACTTTTTCGTGATGTTTATACGCATTGAAAAGCCAAGACTAGTTTAAGCGCGGGGTTTCGTGTGCTTCGAATCAGCCGTCAGCTGATATGATGCAGGTGCCGTTTGATGGTACGTCTCTGGACCTACATGCAAATCTTCAAATTCGAGATGCATGTCAACTTAATACACACGTTGGAGGTTTTCAAACTATTCATCCTTCATTTTCATCTTGCATATATCCATCTCTCGAACAAACAATTAATTCAGTAAACACTGATGCTTTCAAAAAAGAATACAACTATGATACAGAACTTCAAAGACATACACTACCCTCTCTTACGTTAAATAACTTTGGCTTGCATCACTCAACTTCTGGTTCCATAAATCCTATGCCTCCCATTACGTACTCACCTGGAGTTTGTCCACATCCATACGTGCATCAGACGTTTTCAAATGCTGATTCACCGTCTACCTCAACTGACGTACAGGTTAACACGATTTGTCCGGATATAAAGAGACGAAGTCGAGGGAGAAACTCAAGACTTAATTTCACCAATAGTTCACCTGGTATCGATGATAAACCCGTGTCACTGAGTACGAAGGACTCACAGATAAGCTCTTCAGACTGCAATTCCGACTGCAGTACCGTAACCAGGTCCTCCGAAAAAATGAAGACGTCAGATAAAGATGATCGCTATATTCAGCGTAGGCTGAAAAACAACTTGGCAGCTAAACGTTCCAGAGACAACCGCAAGCGTCGTGAAGATACAATAGCATTACGTGCTAGCTATCTTGAAAAATCCAACTTGGTACTACAAACTCAGATATTAGCTTTAAAAAGGGAAGTTTGTTTGTTACGTGGTATACCATTTGATCCAAACTACAAAGTTCGTGTTTTTAATGACAATTACTTATCCTCTTGCCAAACTACTCCACAGTCTAATGTTTCTACTGACTTCTCAAACGAATGTCCTTTATCAGATTTTTCTCCTATTGCATGTTCAAATCAGACCTTAAACTCTAATGTTCCTTATCCTCCAATCACTGAATTTCCTGGAAATTGTGGGTGAATGTTTATTTGCTATTTCTGTATGTAAATTACACAGAGCTTTCTATTTATTCTTTTTGATAGCGATTTTTAAAGATGACTTCACATTAAACTGACCAAATATTCGACTTCTAATTCTACCCATCTGTATGAATATTTTGCATTTCGGTACAGTCTATCTAGTCTATTTCTTAATCTTTTTAGTTACTTTTGGACCGTTATTTGCTCAATTGACTAGGTTTAATGTTATATAATTGATATGTTTTCTTTGCTTAGTTGTATTGTGAGTTCACGTGTGGTATTACGATTTATATTGTTCGTTATATTCGTATATCCTTAGAAGTATTTTTTTAGCAAGTGATTATACCTGACCAGTCTTATTTGCATAATCGTGTCAAATCATAGTGAAAACCATCAGCAGATTACCAGCATAGGAAAATAAGTATATGTTGAGTATTAGGGGGGCGTATTCTTTATTCATACAGTATTTGCAACTTTCTGATTTAGTTCGTGAGAGATCATTGCTGTATGCAATTATACTATACACTAGCGTTAAACTAGGTTCATGTAATATTGCATACACTTATGGTATCGTTCCTCGGAAGCGCTAATATCTTTTTTCGGTAGGTTCTAATAAGAAACGTTCTCTAGGACAATCTGCAGTCGTCATAATCATTACGACGCTATACTGAGGTTCACTTCTAAGCACCAATATTTAGATCATGTAGTTTATACTATCTAGTGATGACTTTCCTTTTCTTTCTTACACTGCAAGTTGATTTTCCTATTCTCTGCCAATAAGTCCTGGTGTAAAGTCTTTCAAAGTGAGTATATAAAGTTATTATATATGTATTTCCTATCTGGGATTAACGTCTGTTGTTCTTGGAATGTCCAGTCGTTAATGTAGTGACTGAAATTCATTTCTTATCAAAAGCGTCTTCCATAAAAAGTTTCTTACCTCACACGTTGGACTTGGTTTGTTAATAAGTACGGTCAGCTAATCGTCATTTTCAGTTACCTGTCTACGCTCTTTTTATTTGAAGGTTTAAAGGTAGTTGGTAGATTAATATTTTCTACTTAGTCTTCATGCGGGCTCGTATATTTATTGTAAAATAACTCGTTCATCAGGTGCTTGTGTATGAGCCGTATAATGCGCCAGCGCTAGTAAATAAAGCCAATTATAATAATGATAATATCCGATTGTCCAAATCTAAGTGGAGTGGCGTTCGAACCAGCGACTTAGTATCTGAAGTTCAAACCACATAACTGCCAGGCTGTGCTCCACAGTGCGGTAGTTTGTAGTCTGAAAAGTTCTTATTTTTAGCATCAGTGAGCAGCTACTCAAAAATCATGAAAAATATATCATGTTGGTCACCCGGAGGTGGATAAACCTGTCTACGCACTAAATTCTAGGTCGCTATATATCAATCGTGTCCATATTTTTCACCCATTGCAACTAATCTAGGTCTCCGTAAAAGATCACAAAAATCCTAGCCATTTACTGTTTAACGATATCACTGGATTTTCCACTTGTCAGGCTTTATTTTCACACTTGGCAATGTTATTTCTCACTGAATTTCAGACAGTCATCCACCTTTGTTTGTTAGGATGAAATAAAACCACATTATCACCATGATCTAAAAAGTGTATTCTAGTGAAGTCACGTGCACTTGGATTGGTCCAGTCTATAATCAGACATCGTGAAACTTGCCCATGTTTAACTCTTGAGTTTTAGTTCCCTTCATAGCGCTCATGGCCATCAAAGTTTCGGAATATGTCTCAAAATATTCTTAGCAAGTAAACGCACCGCAACCGTCGTTGGTGGAAATGGTACGGAATGTTTATTAAGTCGGCTATGTGGCATATATTCTTGTCAGCTTATAGCTATTATTTTATGTAAGTTCTATTGCTATTAGGCCGCTCAAGCTAAGCTAACTAAGGAAATTGAGGCTCGTTATTCGTTAGTTGAAAGTCAAGTATTTTATTCAGTAAGTTGCCGCTAGCTGATGTATCAATTTCAGGGATAATGTAATGCTGTCGTATAAGTAAGCTATACTGGCAGTTTGTTGTGTTACGAATACGTATAGTTATAACTTTTCCCTCCGTAAAGCATAAACAAGGCGCGAACATCTCGAAGAAATCGTCTAAACTCTTATGTACTATCAGACTAAAGCAGTGTTCTCGGCGAGCTGAATTGTTGTGCAACACAGTTTGCTATTACAATGGGATGGGATCTAGTTCATGACTAAGGGGTCGTAGTATTATGGGTCTATAAGTCGACGTTGGATAACATATAAAAGTTGTGCACAAGATTACTTCCTTTTTAGGAGTATCGTGCAAGCAAGCTGGAACATTGTATTAAATTAGTCGTAATGGTTTTGATATCTATGTTTAAAACCGTCGACTCGTGTAGTGGTTTGCGTTTAGTCAGGTACTTCTAGGGTAGCATGAAGAGTAGCTTGAGTGAGGAGAGCTAGAAAAGAGAAGAACAAAAAAATGAATCGACGACTCACCAAGTACACGTAATGAGCACTTAGCGAAGTACAATATACTTTATAGACTCCTTTGGACCACTGATCGTACCACGGTCATATAACTATGGATAAAGTTTTCAGGCGGTACTATTTAGAGATAGTAAGCCGGTTTATAGACTTGTGATATGAGATGTTCTCAATTGTAAGGATAGAACGTCATGTTACTTATGTTAATTCTGACCATCTAGTCCTATAGATATCCGATCTTACTTTGAATATGTTAATGGGAGTTTCTGATTTCGAGTGCTTCCGGTAACCTGTGATTTGACTCGAAAAACGAAACTCTATACACAAAGAATTTGATCTTGATATTTGGGATCTCTGAGAATGGCGTCTTTGATTATCAGTCTTAGAAGGACGAAATATATTAATGTCAATATTGTATCATGTAATCTATGGAGATGGACTGAGACACCTCGATCTATTTCGCCTATTTTTATACTATAGGTTAGTAAGACCTTCCATCATTTTGTTCCCACGGTGTTGAAACATTTCAAGTGTCCTTGTTTTTTATTGGAATCAAGGACTCACTGCTTGAATCTAGTATTCCACATACGGTTATCTTCACCCCCAGTAACTGGATACGTTTTGGCAACCTTCATCTTATTGATATCAGCAGCTATGAAATCGTCGCCAACAACGAATCCAAAATTATAACCACTAACCGAAGTAAAACAATCCACTTATTGTACATAGGTGCGAATTGTCACAACCTATTTCAAATACTGTACTCTTCCAAGAACTTATTTCTAGCAACATTTGATTTGTCCACTTAGAGAGTTTAGATCCTCTTGTAGTCCTATAATATAACTAATTTTGTTTAGTGTAAGTTGTAAACAGTAGGACGAATGACTTCGTAACTCCGAGTGAATTTTTCCTTGATAAGTTTTAATCCCAACACTCTTATGAAGATGAACTACTGTAAATTCTCATAAATTACCTTCTATCACTAAGATAGTCACTAATTATACACGCTTAGAAATAAAAATTCCTGTTATAGTATACTGAATGTCACAAACATGAAGATAGTTGGAGGCTTAGAAGAACCAGACTAAGGTATGATAATAATCTATTGGATCACTGACTATTGATTTAAAACGGGTCGGAATTTTCAGACATTGATCGAAGCATTGAGACATAATCGTGATCATCTATTGGGCAATCCCAATTCTATTCAATAAGAATATATAACCTTGCTAAATAATAATGTAAAAATATCTTTGCCTCGGTCTGGGCACCCGGGCAGTATCACAGCCCACACACAAATATGATAAACTGCCTATAATTATGGAAACTACTTTACCTACTTCAACTAACAATCAAATCATTGTTATTATTATTTACCACATTATTCATCCTCTTTTGTACTTATACAGCGGCTCGTCTTTGGTGGAAATTCCACTGTATCTAAACGTTCTCGAGTCACTGTCCGGTTGGAAATTGTATGCTACCACCAAATACCAGTACTGAAGCAGGTTTTCTGAAACCACATGCACCATTCAAACTGGCTGCCTTCAACGTTCGCACGCTTATGCAGGTCGGACAACAGATAGGGCTGACTATGTCTTTGGGAAGTCTTAATATTAACGTTTGCTGTCTATCCGAGACCCGTATTCAAGACTCTGGTGAAGTACTACAAATTAGCTCTCCATCTGTCGATTCAAAAAGCTTGTTTGACGTGCGTTTATCCGGAGACCCTGTGGCATCTTCATTTGGTCTTGCTGGCGTTGGTGTCGCACTAAGCGTTAGAGTTGAGGCAGCACCAATCGATTGGATCCCAATTAACAGTCGGTTATGTGCTGTTAGATTAGAGAGTTCCATCAAAGTGAGGAGAAATCGGAGTGAGAAATGATGTCTTTTCGTCATCTCTACCTATGCTCCGACAGATTGCAGCCCGGATGCAATCAAGGATGAGTTTTACCACCATTTATCTGTTCTCCAGAAAGTGCGTTCGACAGATATTGTAGTACTAGCCGGAGACTTGAATGCTCAGGTCGGGCGTCTAGGCACAGAAGAGAGTCGTTTAGGTGGTCGATGGGGACACGTATGTCGCAGGTCAGATAACGGGGGCCGTCTACTGCAACTGTGCACAGACCACAACCTGTTTCTGGTTAGCACTAACTTTCGGTACAGTCATCGCCGATGTGCCACCTGGCGTCCTCCCTCTGCATCCCAAGTCTGGACTCAGATTGGTCACATCGCGATCAGCTACCGCTGGTGTGGTTGTGTACAAGACTGACGCTCCTTTTGGAGTACCTTTCTGGACTCTGACCATGCCTTAGTCTGCGCAAATCTTGCCTTACCTTTCAGTGGCCAACGAAGTGATCGCCACCAAAGGATTGATGTCAGCAAGTTGGTTGCAACTTCTGTTGCTGGTAAGTATCGGACCGGGCAAAGCTTGGGTAAGGACCGAGAAGTCTGGTGGTCGGAGCGTGCTGCATCTGGTAACTACCGGAATCTCCTCCAACTCCTCCGAGCCACTGGCAGC